CCCCCTCCAAACACACACATGCGCTTACATATGATTTATACATACATACAGTTTAGACAAAGAGTAAAAAAGAGTACTGTGTCACGTCGCAGTGGAATCAGGCACTCGTCAATTTTTGGGCATATGGAGTTATTGGTACCATCTTAAAGCTTGTTCATTTGTCTTGCTTTTGAAAGAAAAAGTATTAATTTATCTTCGGATGCAAGTGTAGATATTGGCGATTGAAGGAAGTGGGGGTCGCCTGGTTTCAGAGATAAAATTACCGAGAAAAATTACCGCCAAAGTTGCATTATTTTCTTTGCTAGAGAGTCTCTGGAAACTGAAAATTTACATTTTCTATGCCTTTAATCAACTTTTTTCTGTAAAATCCACTTAGAAATGGGTTCTTTAACGGGCATGAAAGGTGTTGAGCCAAAAAGCAAAAATCCAATAAAAAATTTTCAAACCTGCAGAAAAATGCCTGTTTCTTCACTGTCATTATTTTGACTAGCAGCTGATTTCACAGTGCTGCCTCACAAATATATTCTCACAAATATACTGTGTCAAAAAGAGCCTAAAATCCTTACAATTCATTCTACTTGTTCCAGAAACTCCGTCACGAGATCGAGCAGATCGAGGCGTGGATGAGTCTCCGAGAGCCGCTGCTCAAGGGCAAGAACGGTGGCTCCATAGAGGAAGTGGAGGAGCTGCTGAGGAGGCACGCCGACTTTGAGAAGACAGTGGACGCTCAGGGTAGCAGGGTGAACAACTTGTGTAAAGACAAGGTAAGTGTTAGAGTGAAGGTGAGGGTGAACAACTTGTGTAAAGACAAGGTAAGTGTTAGAGTGAAGGTGAGGGTGAACAACTTGTGTAAAGACAAGGTAAGGGTTAGAGTGAACAGTTTGGGTAAAGACAAGGTAAGGGTTAGAGTAAAGGTGAGGATGAACAACATGTGTAAAGACAAGGTAAGGGTAGCTGGGTGAACAACTTATGTAAAGATGAGGTAAGGGATTGGAATCAGGGGTAGACAACTTGTGTAAAGACAAGGTAAGGGATTAGTGTCAGGGGTAGGGCGGACAACTTATTAAAAGACAAGGTAATACCTAAGGATGCTTTTTGGTATATAGGCCGTTTTTTGAATAAATATTGGTAGGATGCACCAAGGCATGAAACATCTACAGTATGCTGTTGTTGTTTCTTGTCCCCATTGCTAGGTGGAGAAGGCTGTGGCTGAGCAGAAGCTTCTGGAACAACAGCAGCAGGTGGAGGATGAGGCCAGGAGGGAGAAGGACAGACTGGATGAGCTACGGAAGAAGGAACAGGACCGGATTCTGGAGGTCAGTCGGTCAGCTTGTGTGTACGCATGTGCCGGAAGGGGGGGGGGGGTCAGTCAAAATAAAAATAATACATGTATGTCTGTATGGATTGTGTATTAAGTCTTTTTTGTAGCGCATTAACAATATTATTATGTCTGCCCCCTGTGGTGTTTGTTTATATAGTCCTTAAGCTATTTGGTCGCTTTTAAGCACAAGGTGGCTATTCCAAAAAATGCTGTTTTGAGAAAATCGAAGGTAAAGTTTTTGCCCCTTGTTCAGTTTCTTTAAAAGACAAGGAGAGTTTTCTCTATAACCAAACAAATATACACACCAATGAAACCAAACTTCTCCTATAGGTAGGGCAATGCCCACTTTTGTTGTAGGTCAAGATTTCTGGAAACCCCCAGAAATCTGGGTTAGCCTGCTTGTCCTAAAAAGCGACCATTTGTTGTTTTTATACCGAGCTAGAACATAATACGTACGCCTTTTTGTCAGTAGTTGATTGTACCATGCACTGATGTATTATGCTACATAACTTGTTTTCTTTTTACAGTGTATCGGTCGTAGTTATGTGTTCATAACCCCCTCGATAGATCCACTAACATAACAGGACGGTGAAACCTTGCCTAAGCATTTTCCCACCTCTTAATTGACCTGAATTTGGGTCAATGAGTGCGTAAAACATAATTACAGACAACCTAAGTTTGTTTGTATTCCGTTACTACAAGTTCTACCTTCTAATTTTTTTGTCATTCAGTGAATATTTGTATCAAATTGTAATTTATACAATGGATGCGCGCTCATATGACCTTATGCAGTTGCGAGCGCCGTAAAACACTTTAAAAAACAAACAAACAAATACAATGGATGACGACCATTAAAAAAGAATAGGTAGGTACAAGTCTCTGTAGCAAACTGTTTAAAGCCAGGGTAATGCTTGTGAGGTTTCACTTTCTAACACAATATTAATAATAACAATAATGATATTAGGGTCAATAATTACAAAATTAATTAGAATGATACCCCAGTCCCAGTCCACCGCTGACGTCATTGATGTGACCTCGCGATAGACTTGACAGTGGCTGTAGGCAAAGATTGTACACTACAGGATGGTTCACTCCTTTAAAAAAAAAAAAGGAAAAAAACCCAAAAAACAAAGAAATAGCATCCTCCAAAATCTACAGCCAATAGTAGACATTATTTATAACACTGGCGCTTTTGAAGATGTTTTGTTTCATTTCTTATCAAACAGAAATTTTGATGAGAGCAATCTTTTCCCCCACTCTTTGTATAGATCTACAAGATAGGCCTACGACGCTGGCTACAAACAGTACAAACTTTTTGTAGTATCAAACACCCAGCAGAAGAGATGTTGCTACCGACATTTTTGATGATGTTTCTATTGAGTTTTTTTGTAGTTGTTTTTTTTCCTCCGCCTCTCAAATAGAGGAGTACTGGCGTCTGTGGTGTAATGGTCAGGCATTTTGCTGTTACATGCAGAAGATGTGAGTTCTATTCCTGAGTAGGGAAGTTATTATTTTTATAAAAAGTTAATGTCTTCATCTGTGTCATGTGAGATGTTTTATCTCACTCTGTCCAGGCTTGCCCAGATAGACAGGGTTGAAGCAGCCACTTATAAATTACAGTATGAATGCTGTCTATAAAATCATATAACATAATGGCAGCTTTAAAATTTGCCATGATTCTAACCAACCAATCTAATAAATCATGGTATACTAATATAATAATATATATGACATTAAATAGCACTCAGCCTCAGTTAACCCTATCCGTATGCCCTGGGGTCATTTTGTACCCCCGGAGTTGTATGCTTCGCATTTTAGAATAGATCTACTTCTAGTGAGAAGATCTCTGTGAAACTTCAGTATTTGTCAAAAAATTCATTTTGACAGACTGCTATGCAAAGCGTACGGATCGGATTAACGAGTAAATTCCTCTTTGGAAAGTGGTGGCGCAGAGTTCCCTACGTCGTATGGATACGATAGTAAAACACGACGTACGGATAGGGTTAAAGAACACAGGCTCTGCGAGTGCTTTACAAAAATACCGTAGCAACACGTACACAGTAGGCTCCATTGTGTTGTGAGTAAAGAGGAGTGAGCCACTGTATGTGGTGTCCAGTCTGTGGCTGTAGATGTTGAAAAGCGGATAGTTAGAGAACGTTGGGAGTACACCATTGGTTGATATTTATAGTAACAGCCATCTTGTTTGTGTCATAAAATAGTGTTCTTCATTCATAAAGACAAAAGAAGTTCCAGACCTACTGTCTCACTGTCTGATTTGGAAAAAAAAAAGGGGGGGAGTAAAATAAGAAAGCTTTTTTTTTTCATTTCAGCAAAGTGTTATGATAATGCTCATTATTTTAATGTATGTTAAAGAGTAGGTCAAACAAGAAGGCTGTTACTATAAATATCGGCTAATGGCGTACTCTTAACATTTTCTAACTGTCCGCTTGTTAGATGTTGTACGTCCCGCTAACCAGCCTGCTCTCTGTCTCTGTCCTGTTCACAGGCCCACCAAGTCGTATGTCATTGTGTTCCTACACCACAATCTTCTAGATCTATATAATTGTTATACATGTTAGAGTGTAGATCTAGTAGTCAAGGCCACAATGGGAAAGTCACATGATCGCAGTCACATAATTAAAATTCCTGAGTTATGACGTTTTAGTATTGCATTATACCGCTTGAAAGACTTTGTTATGAACTTTAAAATATAAAAGTTATAAATGTTATTATGATGTTGTTTTTTTATAAGAGGGTACAATAGAAGAAACGATCCAAGTACAATGTTCTTAGATTTTGAATTTTTTAATTCAAAAGTTATAGCTGTATGGTATTTTACAAATTAAAACACCATGTAGATTAGAAGTCAAAGTCCTGTGTGTTTTGAACTTTGAAATTATAACAAATTTATCAACGATTTAGGTTGTTTTTTTTAAAGAGGAAAACAAAACAACTATTGAAGTAGTTTGAAGTTTGAAATTTGACAGCGATTGACATTATGATTTTAAAAGAGGGATCCGAACACCGCAGTACACTTTGAATATATTATTGTAATTTTGATTTTTTTTTTTTTTTAAATCTGGAAAATGTGCCTTTTGATGGGATTTCCCATTGTGGTCTTTTGTTTAGTTCTCTTCCTTTCTCTGGGCCAAGTCCCCCAGGCACCTTTTCTCTTAGAGCTTTTCCTTCTCATTTATTCTTCTCTTTGTCCTTTTCATTTTATTTCGTCTCTTTAATTTTTCCTTATTTAATTTCGTAACCCCTAAGCCTCAAAACATGTTTCTTTCTGCAGCTGTTATTACTAATTATTATGCTGATTATTTTTATTTTTCTTATTATACTTCTTCTT